TTCGCCAGGCATGGCGAAGTGAGAGACCGGAGGGGGAAGAGATAGTCGAGGAGTTTAATTAATTAATCCGGAACTACGGCGCGGGCAAAGCAGCCATCCCCGTGTTCTCCTTGCGGTGCGAGGTGGCAAAGTTCGTCGTGTTACGCACGAAACTTTCGAAGAACATGGTATCGTCATGGAACCACGGCAACACATAATATAGTCGCTTATCCCTCGCAGCTTCGAATTTCCGCCCGCGAGGAAGAAGAATTCAAATCACTCCCCGAAGACGCGTTTGGACCGCTCGAAAAATAAAAGGAAATTCACAAGTGGCAGTTCGCGAAGGCTCAGTTCGAGTTGTCGTATTCGCCAAGCTGATTTTGCATTCGGGCTATCTTCGAGCAACGCCGAGGAAACGAAGTGTACTTGATTTCCGAGCCGTTTTATTCGCACCATCTCGGCACAGGTAGTCAACATTACGGATAAATCTCGACTCCAATAAAAGGAATTCCAGCAGATGCGGACGACAAAAGGTCAAGGAGTGTTTGTATTAGTCCTCGACATCGCGCGACTACATTTGCATTTTCTTCTGGTAAATGTGTTTAGATCCTTCGCAAAAAAGAAGAGAGCAAATTCACAAATGGCATTTCGCGACGACTCACACAATTCAAATTGTGGAATTCGCTACAATGATTTTGCACTCGGAATTTTTAAGAAACGCCGAGGAAACGAAGTGTACTTGATCTTCGAGTTGTTTTAATCGCATCACATCCGTGTTGGGAGTCAACGTTACGGATAAATCTCGACCCCAATAAGAGGAATCCCAGCAGGTGCGAACGACAAAGAATCAAGATTTGTTTGTATTAACGCTCGACAATGTTTGCATTTTCCGTTAATACGACTTTTTTTTCGATACGATAGTAACGTTTGTATTACAGAGACTTTTCGCGGAAATTTTCGAGACCCGACTTTTCATGCGCCCAATTCACTTGCATTATGCTCGTTCGTTACGCTAGTGAAATAGACGAGTGAGGATTACGCAGAGAAGAGGACGAAGGCAGCGCGACCGTTTTTTTTCTTTCCAGCAAAAATTGAGGTCGAGAAGAATGTTTTGAGCGACGGTTTTTCCTAAATAAAAGGCAAGCGGCGAGAGTGAGTGAGTGAATATGAGAGTATGTGTGTGAGAGAGAGAGAGATTTTGATAGCATACGGCCTCCGAGGCAGTCGACTGTATACATGTTCTTTTTTAGACGTGTGCGCGTATTATACCGCAGTAGTCGCATAACTACAGAAATATAAAGAGATACAAAGAAAAACTATTGTTTCATTAATCCCTACTTGTTTACAAATATTATATTACACACACATATTATAGTAACAAATAGTTTAGACACAATGAAGTAGGAAGCTCATCGAACTGTTAAAATTGAGAGTCATTATTATGTGTGTGTATGTGTGACGATCTTGCTCGGTAATTTTACTATTAATTATTATCAATATTATCATTTATTATTATTTCGTGCTCTTAATTATACTAGTTAATTATATTATATACATAATTACATAATTACATATATTAATAAATATATTAATCATAATATATCAATTAATTATATTCGATAATAACTAAATTTTGACAGTTTGATATGCTCCCAACTTTATTACGTTTACACCGTTTTGCAACTCGCTGTACTGCGTTACTTTTATATAATAATCATATAATAAAATTAATGGGATCGTGAAAAATGGGAAAATTCATACACATCGGATATGTTAACAGAGCGTGAACAGAGACTCGCATCGCGTGAAGATTTCGGTAAAAATTGATCGAAGAACAAGAAACTCGAGCGTATCAAATTAAAATTTCACTCTCTTTTACTGAAAGGCAGAAATATTACTTGAAAGATGAGTTTTCGGTAAAGATTCACCGGTTGCCGATAAAGCGACTGGAAAACAGCCTAGTTACGATTATTATTGGGCTGCATTGAAGTGCGAGACGAGGTAACGAGCTCCGAGGGCGGTGCTTACGACCCTGTAGGTGTCAAATTTACGGTTCGTCCCTCCAAGAACATCACGCGACGACGCGACACGGCGTATCCGCCTCGGAGACGTATTTAATAACTATCATTATGCCCGAAACTCTAGTCGAGCATTTCCGCATTGGTTAATTCGTTAATGTGTCGCGGCTGCCACGAACATATCTCGATGGAGTTGCGTCCTTGGTATCGGTTCGAACTTGCTCGGGATGGCATCCGCGAGTCCCGAAGAACTTACCTTGCCGAGGGCGCGTAAACTTGCGCATCTAGCTATTTTAACAACGGAGGAACGTTTCAGGCATCGTAACGAGGAAAGTTTCAGGCATCCGCGGCACATCGGCTGCGCGCCAACGCGACCGCGAAATTCGACCCGTTTACAGTCGAATTCGAGCTTGTCTCGCGCGTCCGCACTACGCGCGCGCGCGTACGAGTAAGTAGATTGAAAAGGAGTTCCGAGGGCGTATTTCCGCCCTGATATGTCCCTGACGGATGCATCGTAATCCGCACGGATGAGCCTCGAGTCATTCGCGTCAAACATGTCTGAGAAAAGCGTGAGGAAAGCAGACGGGGGAATCGTAAAACGACGCTACTGCTTTCAAATGTCGATATTTCAAGAGCAACAACTTATACCCGACTCCTTCTATCTGTCGTTGTTACGATATTATTGATTAAAATGAAATAATATTGTAACCGACTAATTCGAAGTCCTACAGAAACTAAAAATTTCAAAAATTAACACATTTCGCGATTTACCTTCTCTGATAACATTGGGTCATTATTTTGTCCCATGACACTAAATAGTTATTTTCTGACGTTTTTTGGTCGCTAAACACGAATCCTACCGTAATTTTTTTCAAAATTGTGACGTGATAGTCAAATTTGAACAACGGATTCGTGTTTAGTGACCAAAAACACGTCGGAAATAACTATTCATAGGGCAAAAGAAAGATAAAAAAGGTAATTAATCGTTCCTAGATGAAGAACTAGTGAACTGATTTCGAGTTATCTTCACGAGATTTTTCGTAAGTATACAATTTTTACGAAAAATGTTTCAACTGCTCACTTCACTTGAACAAATGATAAAAAATGGGTATTTGTAACGTGGAAATCATGAATCCGAAAATAAGATAATGTAACGTTTTTTGAAACTTTCGCGCCTTCACATTCTCGGCAGTGTTCCTCAAGTGAGTGACCTCGAGAAGCAGGAAGTAGTAGACATCGATTCACTCCCGATCCGTTGAAAAGAAATATGACATAAATACTGCGTTTGTATATATTTGATGCGTGCAAAGCGGCAAAGCGAGAGGAGGTAGAGCAGACTCGACTCACCTTTCTCCAGAGGAGTTCTCTTGTACTTCTCCAGCCTCTTGACTGCGATGGCTTCCAGGCGTACTCTGGCAGCTGGGTACTCCTTGAGCACGTCCCACATGTCCTTCTTGCTGAGCACGAACAGGTCCGAGTAGCCGACCGAGCGCACGCTGGCTGTTCGCCGGTTACCTGCGTCGATGTAGCCATTTATTGGTTATCGGGATGCATCAAGCTTTCTTATGTAACCGCACGTGATCGACTTGTCGATCGTACTATTTACGGCAGTCTCGCTCACGTCTCGCGCATCGATGCCGATGCACGTGGTTCCGGTTACACGCACACACGCACGCATGAGCATAAAAGCACGCAAGCTCCACGTCGCGTAGGGAAAAAAGATATCCTCCACCATAGAAGGACGAGGGCATACTAGGTGGCGGCGGGACGCCATGCGTTCGAGATCTGCGTATCTTTTCGTTCCAGAGGGAGAAAAGATATCGAGAGCGCGGTTCTGCTAGGCCGGGACTCGAACCCGGGTCTTGCCGGGCGAATGCTCTAAACCACTGAGCTACCTGACGTTCCACGCTCACGACACTCTCCTCTCCCCAGATAACGCTCAGAGATGTCGTTCGGAAGCGACATCTCTGGCGCGATCCCGAGCGCACGGCGACTACAGAGAGAAACAATGTTACTGTACCAAATGGTACAGCTGTCAGTCTCTCAAAGTCAAAGGTTGCTATCCTTTTTGCTATCCTCAAGTCAGAGTTAAGGCTCAGAGTAGGGGCCATCTACAATGGAAAATCGTACGCCGTAACAGTAAGAAATTAACCAATTATACTGGATTTTTAGAAGAATAATTGATTGATTGTGATTGGTTAATTTCTTACTGCTGCAGCGTACGATTCTCCATTGTAGATGGCCCTTTATAGAGAAACTTAAACAGTAAGACATAAGCAAGTTGACGATTCACCTCAACCAGTCGACGATTCATCTTATGGTCCAAGAACTAGCGACTATGATTTATCAATTTGCTTACGTTTTACTTAAGCTGCTTAAGTCTTTCTGTGTGTCACGGTCCTTAAAACCCGGACATATAAAAAAACCCAAGCAGTAAGAAGCTTTACTTTTCTTATTTAAGCAGTAAGAAGATTGACAATCACAATCGATTATTTCTCGATCGTAAGGAGAATCGTCCGCTGTGATTGTTAATTTTCTTACTGCTTAAGTTTTACTGTCTCAGTGTTTTCTGTGTGTCTCCGAGTATAGCCTGAGTTCATAACCTCGCTTTAAGCTTTAAGCCGTAAGTAACTGACAAATCAAAGTTGATTATTTTTGAAACGTAAGAAAAATAATAGACTGTGGTTGGTCAATGTACTTACGGTTTATGACTTAAAGCAAGATTGTAAACCCACCCTTAGAACTCGAACATACAAAAAAATCAGACAGTAAGATTTAAGCAGTAAAAAAATTGACTAATCATAAACAATTATTCTTCGACCGTAAGAAGAATCATTAACTGTGATTAGTTTTCTTTCTGCTTAAGTCTTATTGTTTCAGTATATCTCCAGCAGTAAGACTTCAGCAGTAAGAAAATTGATTAATCATGATCGATTATTCTTTGACCGTAAGACTTGTTTTACGTCGTTTGTTGGAGTCGGATGTCGCAATCGATGATCCAATGAGAGAGTTTATTTTCCGTAGGTGAGTTCTCATTGGACCATCGATTGCATTCCGACATGTAACTCCGACAAACGACGTACGGTAGAACCGGCCTAAGGAGAATCGTCGATTGTGATTGGTCAATTTTCTTACTGCTTAGGTTTTATAGCTTCAGTTCTTTTGCGTCTCCAGCCTTAGGATCATCATCCGCCATTTAACTTGAGAGAAATACCGATGAAAAATTAACAAACGGATATTTTCGATCAAAATAATTTTGATGAATTTTTATATCCGATCACGATATTCGATTAAATTTAGTCTAATACTTTCGATCATAATGGCATTTCATCAGATAAACCGATGAAAAAATTATGAACCGATATTTCTCATAGGATGCTTTCTGATGAGATACAAAAATTTATCGGTATTTTGATTGGAACAAATATTCATTTGTTAATTTTTTATTGAATAATTTCTCTCAGTGTAGGGAGGAAATGAGTGAATAAATAAGAGAGAAGCTGAAGCGTGCTTCTAAGATTGAAATAACAAAGAGTTTTTCCCCTGATCCCACTCAAGTCACCCTTAAAAATAGCGGCAGACCAAGAATCATCACGCTTTGTCCTAAGTCTGACTAGAGGATCTCTAATATCGCGTTTAAACGCGTACGATATATCGTTATGTTGAACACGAGCCATTTGCACTCGCAAGAGCACGTAATTCCGTCGCGAGGATGTGCGAGACTAATGTTGATTAATTAAGAGCGGAGTGTAATTTTGATTAATCACTTCCGTTCTCTCTCTCTCTCTCTCTTACGGCTCGGTGATTCGATGTTAATTGTTCGCCAAGTCGTACGGGCCCGTTTTTCCTTAACGGTCCGGCGTTTGCGTGCGCTAATGAATTGATGGATAATTATGGTGGTGCGAGCGCTAATTAATTGCCGCCGCTGCCGCCACCATGCAACTCTCATTGCGTTTACTCGTGCGTGAGAATGTAATTTTTTCTTCTGCCCATTTATACGGCGTATTTCGACGTTTCCATGCGGGTTTCCGGCCACTTGGCGCGGCTCTTCGTTGTAAAAATTACACGTATTCGTTATTTAAACTGACGCTAATAACGCAGTTTCTGTCCGATATAACAATGACGCGAGTACGAGCCATTGTTCACATGTTTAATTGGTGTCCGCGATATTTTATACGTCGGCATAAAAGCATTCGCGTGATTAACGAGGTAACGAATAGCGTAATTGTTTCAGACATACGTGTGTGTGTGTGTGTGTGTGTGTGTGTGTATATGTGTGTGTGCAGTCTGGAGTGTTAGCGATATAACTCGCCGCGTAGCGAGGAGAACTTTATGTATTTCCAGGGGAGATTTAACCGTAAGATAAATGCCACGTTCGAAAGTTTTGCTTCATTAGTATGCCGCGGATGCGCGGGAGTCGTAATACAAATTGTAATAATTAAGTTAAGGCGACACAGAAACTCTTTGCCCCGGATTGAAAATTATGCCGCCGCGTCTGTGTTACTTTTGCTGTAATTGTAGCGTAGCGGCCTGTGCGCCGCTCGCCCCGTCACGCGGAGAAAACTATAAATAGCTCGCGCAACTTGCGTCATATATCGCCGAGGAAGTCAAATAACCGCCAGCAACATTTGCCGGTGCGCGTTTGCGCGAGAGGAAAGGCTTATAATAATTTTTCGCCCGCTCGCCCCCGATCTCGAAGCGTTCCAATCAGACGAGAGTGTGCGGCTCTTCTTACAGTTATTTTTCTTCTTTTTTACATTGGAGAGTTTTGAGCGTGCGTTTTAAAACGAGCGGTATAACGCAGACTCGGTATTTATTTATTATTATTTATTTATTTATTATTATTTATTTATTATTATTTATTCGACTGGCGTGTACACAATGAGGAACGTTGTAATAAAAATTACGTGAAAATTATATATTTTTTTCTCTCTAATGTGTTTTGTAAGGTTGGGCTATACTGAAATTATTGTATAAATTACCATAGAAATAGTGAATTTGATGATCTACCTACGATACGTAAAACAACATTCGAGTAATTATGCAAATTCAAGTAACCACGAGCAAAGTGAAATATTGAGTAATTTTGTATTAAAACGACAAACATGCATAATATAAAAGAAAAAAAAATTATTGCTGCGCTCGCTCGCACACTTCTCATCAAATGTGACTCTCAAAACAATCCTTGTCCCCGAAAGCGCGGGCGCAACAATATGTAGTAATTTCAGTCAGAATCCCATATGAGAATTCCAAAAAGATTACAAAAATTTTGTTGTGATTTTTACTACAATATTTCCTCCGTGTGTAATTAATCGGTTTTTATCCTGCATTTTTTAAATAAAAATCCTTATGTTGCATACAGATATTGCGATATGAGCGTGACGGCGTGCGGGTCTCACACCTTCTTCACCACGATGCATCGTGCATTCTCGTAACAATGCACATCGAGACGTTTGCTGTAGTTTCCTCGGCGACGAGACTTTGGCCATTGTTCACGTCGAGGTTCGAATTACGTTATCATACAGTGTCATATAACGTTAATAAGTTGCAATGGATAATACGTGTCGATAGTGGAAACGCACTTCCGAAGGGAGACAGTCAATTTTGCTTTTCGTTTCTCTTTCTTTCTGTCAACGACTCTCAGCACTTTGCTGACTTATATGGTGAAGGTAAGACGACGAAATTGACTGTCTTCCCTCGCGAAGAGCGATGTAATTAGAGTTATATCTGATATATGTTTCAAGAGTCAGCTAAGATAAAGGATGCTAGAAACTACTATATAATTAATTTATACGTGTGTATATATATGTATATATAAGTATAGTATGTATAGTATATATATATAAATATATAAGTGGTAATAATATTGGCATATCCGAATGCAGGTCATTACATCCTTATGAAATCAGCACGCATCACAGCAGTAAATTACAATCATCAATAAGAGCGTATCAGGGAGTGATAGTGATAGATCGTGAGGAAGGTACGTGAATAGTGCAATGAATAGTATATATGATAATATCGTATGAAAATGGAAATGCTATCGCACGGTGGCATTTGTAAGTGGCATTTGCGCGATCGGGCGCAACGATAATTCCGATCGACAATCGAATTATCCGTCTTCGCGTTATAAATAACCGGCGCGAGCGCGATCGATGCCTCGACGACGGCCGCGGCACACAGTGGGGTCAAATGAAACTTCATGTTTGAAGAAGGGCTGCAGTCTCGAACAATACTCTTGCAATACTCTTTTTTCTTTTTAGTAAAAGCTAATGACACTTGGAACACTGTCGAGCCAGATTTTTGCCTCTTGCTTCCCTTTTTCCAAGTCAGACACAAAGAAGTTAGACTTAGAAACTCTTTTCAATCCAACAAGTCTGACAGATGCGGGAGCTAAAAACTTGTTACTTCAAGAACGATAATTAATTAAAATACTGATAACATGATAACATGGTAATTTGTCTTACTGATAACATGGTAATTTCTTGCTTAATTCAGTAGTTTTTATTTACTAAAATTTTAGGTGCTATTTCTATTATAACTTTGTTTGTTAAGTTACAGTAAGATTTAATAATGTCAGTTTGTATGACTTTTTCAAGCCTGAAATAAATTAAGAATTGAATATTTAATTTCACTATCAACATTTATGTCTGATGTTAAATTAGGTGAAATATGAAATGTCTGCTGTCTGATTGAAAAACATTCCTAAATTCTTTATGTTTGATTTAGAAGAAAGGAAGCAAAAGGCGAAAATATGACTTGATAAAGTTGTTCAAAATTTTATTAGCTATCATTAAAAGGAAAAAAAAACATCGAAATCGGTGGAAACTTCGGAGCTGTTGCCTTTTTTGAAACATGAAATTTCATTTGACCTCACTGTGGCGGCGGCGGCGGCGGCGGCCCGCTACATCGATCGACGGGAGGACGCGAGTCCAACTTTTGCAAATGCCACCCTCCGACGATAATAATATAAGTACGTAACAATTAAGTAATGTAATAATAAGTATGCAAGAGAGGATGGTGTATTGAAAAGAAACAGAAGGAAGAGATATGTAAACAGTCTCTCAGCGTGACGTGACAGCACCAAAATTGTGAGAATCAAGATGGGAAATAATATATAGATGCGAAAAGGGCGCGACTAAGATCCGGAGTCGGTCGAATTCTAAGCCATCTCTTCTAATAAAACTACGAAAGCGAAATGGAAAATTCAGCACGAATGGTTAAAAATATTTCCTTTTCATCAAGGTCCCATCGACCGGCACGCCTCGCGAGAAGCTGACTTGCGCCGTTCGCTCGTATCGTTCTCGTTGCGATCGAGAAAGCTTCACATGCGTGTCTTGCGATAAAGAAAACAGGCTAAAGAAATGGCACCTCGATGCCGAAGTGTAACGTCGCGTCAACGATCTCTTGACGCTCTTCTCTCTCGCATGGGTCAGATGTCAAAAATTGGCGAATGGCCCTGCCGCGTCAATCGCAAAAGAAATAAAAAAAGAAGAAAAATGAAGAGAGAGAAAGAGAAAAAGAGACAGAAAAAAAAGAAAGAGAACGCGACTCAATATTTTTGCGGCGTGCGTCACTGTTCGGTCGGTCGTCCCGGTCGATCGTAAAACGCAAAAACGGAATACAGTAGCCGTGAAAAACAAAAACAAAAAAAAAAAAAGAGAAGGGAAAAGAATCGAAAGAGTGAAGACTAAAGGGCAATACGTGTCACGGGCCTTATTCGAGGCGCGTCGACGATCTCGCAACGACTCCGTCGGATGTGCGTCCGCGGAATCCAATTAACCGTCGTTGTTTATCGGAGAAAAACCGAGGGGAGCATTATGAAATTTTCGACACGATGCGGGCATATATCACGGAATTGGAACGCGATTGATTCGCTCGCTTCGCGCGGCCCTCGCAATTCGCGACCGCGATGTATTCCGCGGCAGTCGCGGATACCCAGTTATATCCAACTCCGAAAGAGAAAAAAGAACTTCTCACGCCTCCCGTGTTGGTTAATTTCGCCCGTTTCCCACGGACACGCTATGCGGAAGGAGTAATAGAGTTTACCGAGTTTATGCCGGGAAAATAAGCTCGCACGGCCGCCGTATCTCTCTCATCGAACGATAAGTAAGAAGGGAATTCTTTATTAACTGGCCACGAAAGAGAGAAAGAGAGAAAGAGAAAGAGAGAGAGAGAGGAGGGGGGGAGAGAGGAGAAAAGAATTAATATCGCGGGAGATGAAATTTTCTTCTAATTTAATAAGAGCGCGGATCGTGATCGCTATGAAAATACTCGCGAGGAAAACTCAATTTAAACGGGATTAAAATCATTTCGGATGGTCAAAGGATTCGTCGGCCGTTGTGCGAGTCTGGCGTTTCTTCGGACCCGTCGATGTTCCACCTCTCTCCCGCGAAAAAAAAGAGTTCGATGAGCGGCAGAGGAGACACGGAGGGAATAAAGTTCGTGGCCTTTGAACGCTTATTTTTTTCTTCGTCTCATCGATGAGAGGAAGAGTCACTCGCGAGAACCGGTTCTCGAAAATGAGAACGAGTCGATCCCGCGACGACATTCATGGACGTTAGGGTGACCAAACGTCTCGAAAAAGCCGTAGGCGAGACGCCATTTGTCCCAATTTATTATGTACGTATAGAGTAAAATAAATAATATACAATTTTACATACACACGCTCTCCAAAGTGTATAACTTACACTTATCAAACAAATCTCTAGACAATTTAGAGTTTTTAAAATAGGTGGATTTTTTAAAATCTTAAATTTTAAATAATTATTTTAACATATATAATATACAATATATAATTATATCTTCTTCGTTTTTCTTCTTTGTTTTTGGTCTTTTTTTCTTTTAATCGTGTTTCTTCTTAAGGTCAATATTCCAAAATTAGCTGATTGAAAGTTGGTTACTCTAACGACCACGTCGTGATCCGGAGAGAACTGTCGATGCGGAGAAATTGGCGCGACGCTTTGCAATTCGACGACCAGGACCGATTAATGAAGTGAGGCCGATAACGAGGACTGATTCCCGACACGTATACCGACGCGACGACCGCGCAGTTCGTCTTTCTCGCGCCTTCGATCGTCTTTCGTCTACGGCGAAACGTGCACGTCTGTCGTTGCGCGAACGTCGGACGCAATTTAAAGGTGAAGATCGACAAGTGGGACGTCTGCGAGAATAAGAGAGAGAATAGTGGAAAAATTGCTAGAGAGATCGTTTTCAGATCGGCTCATACCGGCTCGACGGCTTGCCCTCTCACAGAGTGGTAAGAACGTGAAACGTGAAAACGTGATCGTGAAAAACGAGGGGGACAGCTCACGGGCCCCTGGTCCGTTTGGAATATTTACCGCACTCTTTACCTGCGGTCCCCATATTGAGAATGCTGATCTCCCCGAAGTAGGAACCCGCCTTTAGGGTGGCGAGCACCGTCTTCCCGTTGTCGGCCACCACCTGCAGTCGGCCTCTATTCACTATGTACATCTCCTTTCCCACCTCACCTGCAATCACACCAAAGTCGCATCTGAAGAAAAAAAGGCTTTCTCCGTTCCTCTCTTAAACGTCGTTTCCTCGTCCTCTCCCTTATCCCACCAGCCTGAGGTATTTCGTATCTCGCGCGATATAATCCCGGTGATAAAGCCGTAACACGCGAGGCTGCATTTCTGTCGTCCGCACGCGGGAGTCTCGCGTTGTATTTAATGTAAAAGTGCAGCTTTTTTTCTCGCTGTATCCGTTTACGAGTCTATAAAAATAATCAGCCGTCGGCACCGCGCTCGGAATACAAGTCGCTGCATTTCATGGTGCACGACCTGAGCGCTGGTGTCTTTCCATGCTACGTACATAACGGTGCTAGTATCGTCTTGGCGACGTGACTCTCGGCGTTATTAACTATGACGCATATCTGCGACGCGGACGGAAGAAAGAAGGAAAAATGTAATAGAGGTAAAAAAGCTGATTAACTTTAACCATAATCCGGTCGTCCCTTTTCGTCTCTGCCCGGATAAAAACCGAGACAGAAGGAAAGAGAGAGGGAAGGGGGGAGGGGAGAACAAACCGCCGTTGATGTTAATCGACTTCGGGGAAATCGAGCGTAAAATTCATTTTGGACGATCTATAATCTGCGATGAAATTCGAGATGGGATTTTGCTCGTGAATTTATGCGTCGCGTACGATACAGGGAATACGGTGAAGATTTACGGACGTGCGCGCACGTTTACGCGTACGTAGGTCTATAAACGTAATTCTTGGAGTGTTCCCTTACAGATAGAATTCCGTCTCGAATCCCGTCGGGAATTATAGGCCGTCTAAAGTGGCCTTATAATAAAAGACGCACGCGTCGAGTACCAGGCGCGGGAGCAGCGGCGTCGTTTGTTCCGTGCAAGTAGTAACGCCAAGTCATAATTCCGGCCATAATCGCACGGCGCGATAGCGGAAATGCGAGGGTCGCGCCCATCAAAAGACAGCAGGCATTCGTGGCTCGTGGACTGAAACGACCACGTTCTCACATTCCTGTACTCATTCTTGTGTTACCCGTTTCGCCGTTAATGAAAAGAAACCACTGTCGGAAGGACGGAGCATGGACGAGCGAAATGACTCGCCTCATGACTTTTGGGTGTCCGGGCGTGTCGAAATTAGTCGCCCGGTTGCTTACTATTTGCTGGAACAGATATCGAACGCGGATACACGCATGGCGAGTGCCAGGATGGCCAATGGCGTAAGCTCCTGAGTCCAAATTTTAGCTCTACTTTCGACCTAATTCTTCCAACATCTGTATATTCCCCTGGATCCGTGTATGTTTCGTACACACTGAAAGTGAAGTCCTACTTAGCGCCTCTAAATAGCAGAGAGCGCCCAAAATGCCACTTATAAGTTCCAAAGAGGATCTCTCGGTAAAGTTAACGGGTTAAGTAGAATAAAAAAAAAGTTGGTGTAGGTTTCAGAGTATTAAAGCAGGCGTTGAAACACTGGAGGTCAAGAGTAGAATCGAAAATTCCGACTCGGGCTCGCGCTATTGTTTATGCGAGACGATTCAGCGCACGTTAGCACGAGGAGAGTTTCTCGTTTAGATGCCATAGACACGCGGATAAAGGGACAACGATGACTCCGTATTTCCCGGCGAGGAAAATCCGTTCCAGACGGATTTCTCAGTGTCGAGAGATCGGTTAAGCGCAGTTTCGCCCCAAAAAAAGAAATTTACGCGTGACCACGCAGCGCTCACTCTTGTTACGCAAACAGGGAGAGACCAAAGAGTCGTTCTCAATTCGCGTAACGATATTCCATTTCGCTGTGGCCATAAAAGGGACAGAATTTCGATGACCGTTGTAGGCCGTCGCGGAGCGCTGTAAAGCGCACGGCACAGCGTCGGCTGTGACAATTTACGAGCCGCTCTCCTCTGTGCAACCGCAGACTATGCCGAAGTAGTTATACAGGCCCGCGTTTCCTTCCTTCGCTACGCTTCGATAACGAGCACCATGGTCTTTCTCTCTCTCTCTCTCCTCCTTTCTCTCTTTGTCTTCCTGCCTCTCTCTCTCTCTTTTTTGGTCATAAAGCAGAAATATTCGTCTGCCGCCCGGTGGTTTCCGCTTACGCTACTGGTGACGAGGCTGGCACGGAGAAGGAGAGAGGACGGACAATCATTTTTCACACCCGCGGTACATCGTTTGGCCGGCTTCCAACACTCACATACCCGTAAGCGGGACACGTTGAATCCGGGGGAAAAATCGCGCAGGAGAAGAAGGCAAGTGTCTGGGCGAGGCTCGCGGCCGAGAGAAAGAGAATGGCCCGTAAGTGACAATGGAAGACGGGCGAAAAATCGATATCGCCGACAATGAGAGGCGCATACAGCGCCACACTTCTCAGCCAAATTCCGCGCGGCGTTTATGACGTTAATTTTTCATTCCGTTCTCCGTAGAAAACGGCAAGCAGCTCCGCCCGCAGCTCAACAAAACATTTTTAATGCGCAGAGACGGCGAGAGCAGAAATGTGCCAGCGACCTTACCTTTGCGACAGATGTAGTCGCCAGGTGAGAAAAGAACGGGCCGTAGTCGCAGCACCAGCTCGCACAGGAAGCCAGCCTCCGTGTTCTGGAAGATCTCGACCCTCTTCAGCGTGTCCAGGTGCACGTTTATCGCGATCTCCGCCTTCAGCTTATCTGCAACGCATGAGAAAAAATGGGAATTAACACGCAGCACGAGAATGGAATGCCGAGCAAGCAGATAATCGAAAATGCTAAAGGGATATTTAGTTCTGCACGTTCATTCATTCATGTACTTCGCGCTTTTGTCGTGAAATATTATATACCTGAGTAGAAATACTAATACATAACTAATCGGCCTGAGTCAAGAGTTAGTAGCTAGCTAGTACAGGCTAGATGAAATTTCCTAGCACGTTGTTACTAAATCGTTACTGGTTAATTATTCACTGAAGTATAAATCGTGGTCTAGCCGTTTTGTCTAGCCATTACATATAAAATATGATAGAGTAGATGGCGTTGTCTATTTTAAAATGCATAATCTAACTACTGTATAGTCACTAGTATTTTAAAATTAATAATTTTGAAACTAATAAAATGATTAGAGAGCTTGCAAAAGTTCACATCAAGCTTGCTTTACATTAATTTAGTGAAAAATTTAAAAAAAGAAAACAGAATTAAGTGTTTATTGCATTATTGACTAGTAACTATTTGTAGTTTCTCATTTCATAACTAATAATTTCATAATTTCGTTTATTTAATCATCAGTCAACTTATTCATCTAACCACTAGGAGAAGTAAGCGTTACATTAGTGACGTAGACGTCAGTAGTGACGTTAGACACGAATTAATAATTAATGAAGTCCTGATTGCCAGACTGCGTTACATGACTGATCAGGACTTGATAACATCACCTTGTACGAATTACATGACGGATAACCGATTGGGAGATCGAGGCGAGATTGGGGATCAACCTGATTGGGATCTGATTGGAACCACGGGATAAATGTTTCGTCAGGTACACGTGCAATGTATACGTTTGATCACGAACCCGTTAAATTATTTAATTAAAATTGATCAGAGTTAAGTTACTTAATTAAAATCGATTAATCTATAAGAAATTACACGATACAACTTATATATCTATTTGTATTTTTCTAATATTATGTAATATTTATATTTTCCCTCTATATTTACTATCATTGCTGTATTTAATGCAGTAGTTTATATTTTCCAACTATATTATTAGACATTACCGATCGATACCTTGACTTTTTTTTCTAACGCGGCGGACGAAATTTTCACGTGAGACCATTTATACGGTCGACACGATATCGGCGCAACGCGAAGCGCTGTTTTTATTGCACGCTGTTACAACTTCACCGATTTTAACTTTGGAGTGCGAGGCCGTTTTTCGAGGAGATTCCGCGCGTGTTTCTCTAAAAGCGCCGTCTCATTAGCCGGAAACGCCTGGCTGAGCCCATCACCCGCGGAAAGTGGGCATCCGAAGAGGCTAGTGAGCAATTAGGCGATATGCACGTTTCCACAGGCACGTATACGCGTGCATCGCGTGCATGGAGACGTAAGCGCATACATTTTTAAGCAGCGTCGGATAACGGCGTGTCGATCCATCGTAAATCGTTTGCGGACGCGTAAGGCGCGAAGCGCAGGCTGCCCGTGAAGTGTCGACTTCGATTTGCATGTCGATAGCATCGCCGAGGTGCTAATCCGACCAGCGACCCTTTGAAGGGACATTTCGTGGGTCCGCGCGAACGGGATCGCGATCAGATGGAAATTACGAAACGCCATTGCGTCGGTTAAAGGGAATTCTCTCGTGACCGGTCGATGCGCAGACACACATTGACTCCGACCATTCGATCGTTACTTCCCACAAATGTTAGTACTTTAATGTGGTAAATCGTAGAACGACGTAGAGGGACTCTGGGGGAGGGAAGGAGAGAGAGAGAGAGCCGGAGTTTTGTCGATTTTAACAGCGTCGCTGATGTTTCATTTTCGGAATGTGTACTTTACACAAGAAGTTCAATTACCATAAATTATTCGCTGATTATCTGCTGCCCAAACACAATTATTTTTACGATTAAATGAAATCAGCGCTGATGAAGCTGGCCAATATTATTCGTAGGGGGAGGGGAGATGACAGCACGTCGCGTAAATATTGTCCCCGCTGAAAATGCTATTAATAAGGTAATGCGCGTAATTAATTGACCATTGTAGTAAATATCGTATTATTAATACTTATTCATTCGGACTGATGGCAACGTTACAAAATAGGGCCTATTGATCATGAGCCAGTGGCGTTATTTCGTGCATAAAATCCTGATTAACAAGATAAAGCTTAATATCGTTTGCCATTGTCGCTGTTATAATTGTAGGAAACACGCGCGACTAAAATTGCCAGTTAGCCCACAATCGTCGAGCGTGCACAAGCGACGCGACGTATGCCGCGACGTTTCCATTATTATCGCGATAATACCGTCGTGTAATTAGCATTAAGCCCCGCAAATTTACCGTTAGCCGAATATTATGAGCGCTCGCGGACATGGCCGTGTGTGCTGCGTGCGTGAGTGAGTGAGTGTCGCCGCGCCGTCGCGTGATACTCTTTTTTGCGAAGTGTAACTTCATCGGCGATCGATACGCGCCGAAATATTAACGCGTAATGCAGCTTAATTACTCGTGTAATCCGATTACGATCGCCGCACAAAAATCTATGTATCGTCTGTTGTGCCGCGCGCTGCGCTATATTCTGTTAGTTGTAATATACAGCTGTAGCGCGGCGTTGCGAGCAGCGATAATTGTTTGATGAAAGAGTAACTTGAACGCATTTTACCTACTGAATTCTGGCCTCGTAGAAAGTCCTTGTACACTCATACAGGCAAAGAATGTAACGAAAATGCGAGCTCGGAAATAGCTTATAAACATTAAGTTGTAATTCGTTCTTGTGGAAGATTATAATTATTATCATACGATTCGCAAAAAACGCTTTGTATTTGTATTGCAATAGATCAGCGTAGAAATTTTCGTGTTAAATTTTTAATATGCTCGTGTGTCAATTTAATATATTGTCGTTGTGTTATTCTGACTATTTTGCGTTGACTTCACGTTCGCCGTTTTTAAATGTTAAAATAACAGAATTTATATATGATACTTATCATTCTTGGTGATATATTTTATATATAAAGTGTACAGATAACTTGTGTTACTTGTCAAGCATATCTTGTTTTGTGTTAAATTAACACAAATATTTGAATGGATAAATTGGAATATATGAGATGAGTTAAATCAAACACAAAATCCTTTGTAGTGTGTACGTTCTTTCCGGACTCGCTCGAATAAAACTCGAAATCGTTTTTTTTTATTTCCTTTACTAATAAAAATTGTGGAATTGATTGTTTTATATACTATAGATAAATTATTTACAGAGTGTAATCGTGATTTTGTTACAAACCTTTAAGGACGATAAAGGTGATCAATATGAACAATTTTCACGTAGGAACTCATGTCCGGAAACGTTTTGTTTAAGAGTTACAAGTTTTGATATTTATAATAATCTGTCTAAGTAATATTGCAGAATAATAACCCTTTGATTATCGCATTATGAACTTCTAATTAATGTAAATTAGCTTATTACAATTCAATAATTGTTATCAGAACACATTACAGCAAATGTTTAAAGTGCATTGGCCTTGAGTTCGATACCAGCTAATTGTAAACAAGATTCTGTTTTCGCACCACTATATACAAACATTACTACAACAATATCATGAAAGCAAATAACATGATTTAACGTGCTCCTTAATCGTTTCCAAAAGTAAAGCTACGGTTCACCAGGAAACAACCTAACTACATTCATCAAAGCTTGTAACTCCTAAACGGAACGTTTCCAGACATAAGTTCCTGTATGAAAATTATTCATATTGATCACCTCTATCACCTCTATCTAAAATTTGTAACAAGATCATGGGATTACACCCTGCGTAATACTACTTCATATATGTAATACTATCTAAAACTTAACTGCTAATTTAGGGAAATGTTTGCTCTTTTATTGGGAGCGGGACTGCTGTAGCTTTAAAATGCAATTCACCTCACGTCGCTACGACTTTTCTATGCGGAGATATCGACGAGCGGCGAAATCGTGTGCAATGAGGACTCAGGCCGCTGACAATGTTGCGCGCCGCCGCGAGATGTGAAGTCCGTGGCGCGAGAATGCTACAATAAATCGCGCAGGTGCTGTCATTCGGCGGCGAAGGATCGCACGCCGTTCCGGAAATCTCGAAGCTTCGTATCTCGGCGAAAAATCGATGTGCGGAAACAAACGTCATTCTTCTCGGCACTTCGCGCCGCACGCGTGTAGGTACTGTGTGCTCTTGTCATGACACGTGCTTGATTAAAACATGCAGTATACACGATATACTTTCGCATAGAGACTCTGGAATATATTCGGACAAAGAAACAAAGAATGTCGTATCTTTCTATCGCGACAAGTACGAGATCTCATGCGTATTTCGTTCGGAAAATTCCGCACTGTGATTTCTACGTAACGTCTCCCTTCTCGCAAATTCTGAACATGATTTCAAGACCCGGATCAATATCGCAGCCAACGTCACGATATGAGAAATTCAATCTTGGCTGATGGCTGCGGGTACCCAGCCAAGAATTGACCGCGTTGTTTGGAACCGAGAAGAGTTATCGTTCGACTGTGATTCAATGTCGAGTCAATATTCGCTGCCAGTACTGAAGTAAAAAACCGGAAATCTAGCAGCCAGTAATAGTGCGAGTCGAGGGCAAGTGTGAAGCTTTGTATGGCAAAGCTGCTTGAACGATTGCGGTCACGTAATTGTTAGGAAAGAGCGCGGGCGAAAGGTACACTTCTGCCGCTTTTCGCGAGACAATGGAACTCGCGCGCAAAAGTGCCACGAATAGAATCCAGCTACTTCGTCACGGTGCTTCTTTGCGTGTGCGGGCAGAACAATCGCGAGCAGAGGAAAAGAGAGAGAGAGAGAGAGAGAGAGAGAGAGAGAGAGAGAGAGAGAGA